TTGATTTTATATTGGAGTGGCCAGATTGCTTTTGTCTTCAGGAGTTCCCACAGAGGCCCAAGTCAGATGAGGATCAGATGCTCTCAGGCTTTCTCCTAAGGTCTGGATCCCTCCAGGAAAGATTTTGGCCTCAGGAATTTGGGGGTTGGACTGGCCTGGGACCAGGGCCTAGGAAAGATACTGGTCTAGGGCAGCTGGTGGCCATGCTACCCAGAGATGCAAAGGGAGACAGGGGGATGGAAGAGGCCCCAAGGGCTCCTGAGCACTGCACTGAGGAACTGGGTTGGTCTGAATGTAAAGGATCAGCAAGCGGAAAGGTCAGCCCCCGAGTCCAGGAACGAGGCTGGCGGTTTGTGCAGCCCGGGGAAGCAGAGGGAGGTGAGGGTGGGGCCAGGCCCAGAGGGCTCCTGGGGACCCGAGAAGAAACTGGGTTGGTCTGGATGCACAGGATCAGGAAGCAGTGGTGGTGCCCCCGGTGTCTGGGGCGCCAAGACAAGGAATGAGACAGGACCCAGGCTAGGAGGAAAGATGGGCAGAGGAGAAGGGAGGGTGAATGAGACTGGAGGAGTCAAGGCTCAGAGGGCAGGATCGACTTAACCTGGAGAGGCCTTATATTATTTCTTAATGTTAAGTTGTGTTTTTTTCCTGCTTCCTTCCTTCCTTGGGCTCAGTAGTCCTCCCTCCCTCCCTCCCCAGCATGCACATTTCCAGTGGAAACAATGTATGATTCTGTGATGTGGGGATGAAGTGTACTTGATAAAACGCTTGCTAAGTTCACATGCTCACTGTGTTTATTTTAATGTCCTGTTAGGATCCCTGTTTCCCCACCATGGCACTTTTGAAGTAATTAAGAACACAGACATTGATCTGGATAAGAAGATTCCAGAAGATTACTGTCCCCTTGATGTCCAAATTCCTAGTGATTTAGAAGGCTCTGCATACATCAAGGTACTGGTTAAAGTGGTTTGTAGGTGATTTCTTATTAACCCTGAGGCTACTTTGCCAATGTTTTTCATGTTTTTACTGTTGTCTAGGTTTCCATTCAAAAACAGGCTCCAGACATTGGTGATCTTGGCACAGTTAACCTCTTTAAGCGGGCTTTGCCCAAATCCAAACCAGGTATGTCATGGCATCTAACCTCAAGTCTTCATGTATATAATCAGTAAGTCAGATGCAAAGAGGGCGAGGAAAAGTGGGCTTTCGGAGGAAGAACAGTTGGAAATAAATCCCTTTTAAAAGCAGAGCTGAGGTCTATTAAAGACACTTTATTATATATTTTAAGAACGAGGGATGCTGGGCATGGTGGCGCACGCCTTTAATCCCAGCACTTGGAAGGCAGAGACTGGCAGATCTCTGTGAGTTCAAGGCCAGCCTGGTCTACATAGTGAGTTCCAGGACAGCTGGGGCTATAGGGAGACCCTGTCTCAAAAAGACCAAAAATAAAAATAAAGAGGGGTACTCAGAAAGGACACCCAAGACCATGGGTTTGGGCTTCTCAGAATGTTGCCTGTGTTTTGTTTTCAAGACAGAATCTTATGCCGGCTCTCCTGCCCCAGCCTCCTGCGTGCTGGGGTTATAGTGACGTGGGGTTGTTTCTGGAATGTGCCTTGCATCATTACAGACAAACCATGCGGAGTAGTTATATGGTAGACCAGGCTGGCCTTGAACTCGCAGAGATCCGCCTGCCTCTGTCTCTAAGTGCTGGGATCAAAGACGTGCACCACCACACCTGCCCTAGTGAGAAGCTGTATGCTGTTTTAGGTTGGACTTTACTAGTTTTCTCTGTATAAAAGAAGTGTGTTTTCATCCTCTCCAAGGCTCAGGGAACATTGTGGAAAATGGGGACAGAAATGTTAGAGCCAGAGGTGGGAGTGCTGTGAAACCATGTCTTCTGGATGTGACATGGCCACTACACACATGAACTCGCATAGCTGTGGTTACCTGCTTAAGGCTTGCACAAGATTGGGTCCACCTCTGTACATCATGGGTGGGCCCTGCCCCTCACTGAGGGACGAAGGGCAGCTAATGGCTGCAGGGAAGGGTGTCTTCTCCCTTGGCAGTGTAGCCGCTGCTTAGCTGCCCTTGTTCCCGTACATCACCCTCAGTGAGCACTCAAGAAAGCAGCCACAGCTGAACTCTCTCCGGTCACCAGAAAAAGACAGAGACGTGTAGAAGGGCTTGTGGGAAGGGGGTGAGCAGGAGAGAGGGGGCTGAGAGAGGGTAATGGGGGGGCAGTGAAGATGACCAAAAGTTGGTCAGATGCATGTCTTAATTTTACCAAAGATTTTTTTTTAAGTTAGATATCGGTATTTTCTCGACCTTTGACTAAGAATTGAGGTTATTGCTTCATGCTGTGTCTCATATGGTTGGACACTGGGCTTCTGCATGTGCCTTTTGTCTTTCAGGTTCCCCACATTGGCAGACAAAATTAGAAGCAGCACAAAACGTTCTTCTGTGTAAAGAGATTTTTGCACAGCTCTCTCGGGAAGCTGTTCAGATTAAGTCCCAGATCCCTCACATTGTGGTGAAAAACCAGATCATCTCTCAGCCTTTCCCAAGTAAGGACAGCCAGCCCTGTGAGACCTGCCAGGGGCTTCGTGGTGTCGGGGTAGGGTGGCTATGCAGCAGGGACGCCGTGCTGTTTGTTGTGGCCACAAAGCTGTAGCATGGTGGTGCTGCCAGTTCTGGTCCAGGCCATGGGGGCCAGACCTGGACTTCACAGCATATATTAAGATGGACTAGCATGACTATGGATCGCTTTGAAGTGAGATTCCTTTTCTTTTTTTAAAAATTATTTATTTATTTATTTATTTATTTATTTATTTATTTGCTATTTTATGTGTATGCGTATATTGCCTGCATGTAGGTAAGTGCACCCAAGTCGTGCAATGCCCGTGGAGGTCAGGTTGTTGGATCCCCTGGGACTGGAGTTATACACAGCTGTTAGCTGCCATGTGGGTGCTAGGATTCAAACCTGGGTCTTCTCCAAGAACAACCAATATTCTTAACCACTGAGCCATCTCTCCAGCCCCGTGAGATTCTTTTTCAAGAATATACTACATTTTTGTGTGTGTGTGTTTTTGAGACAGGGTCTCCCTGTAGCACCAGCTGGCCTGGAACTCACTATGTAGATCAGACAGGCCTTGAACTCACAGAGATCTCCCTGCCTCTGCCTCCCAAGTGCTGGGATTGAAGGGGTGCGCCACCACGCCTGGCGATATACTACCTTTTCTAAATAAGGTGTCAATTTAAAAATACTTAGACTATTACTATATTTGTAGAAATCAGCTTTTATTATCAGAAGAAGCATTCAGTTGTCACCATACGTTGTTTGCATAGATTCTCAGGATGGTATCACCACTGTCTTATCAAGGAAGTTTGTTTTAGAGTGAACAGTTACACCTAAGTGCTTACAGAGCAGGGTAAGACCAGGTATGTTAAAAGATAACAAGAAAACTTTTAAAAAAGGAAAATCCATATTTCTAGAGTCAGAAATGAAAGTTTCTCCCCAGTCTTCAGCCCAGCTCAGGGTCAGCAGCCGTGTTATAGGTCAGTGGAACTGGAATTAGGTGTGTGTGTTGCCGAAGGATCGTGTGAATACAAGCTCAGTCTGAGTTGGCTGGTTGCCCTCTATGAGGACAGCTTGGTGTCCAGATCTTGGCTTATCTGCGTCTGCCCTGCTGCTTTATGAACAGGCTTGCAGCTGTCCATTTCCTTGTGCCATTCCTCAAATGATAAGAAATCGCAGAAGTCAGCCACGGAGAGGCAGAGCCCTGAGGATCACCTCTATGTTCTGGAGCACAACCTGCACCTGCTGATCAGAGAGGTGACAGCACAAGTGGGGGCTTTGTGTTGAGCGTGTCCAGAGCTGTGAGTGCCGCAGACCTCCAGCAGCAGCAGCAGGGTCCCAGCTTGGGGAGGACCCGTCCTGCTCTGTTGGAGGATTTGGAGATCCGTGCACGGACCTTGTAGCCATAGCGCTGTGCAGCCAGTTCTGTAGTAGAGACAGGAATGTGCCACAGCAGTCACAGGAAGGAGCAGCATCATGCTTTCTGGGCAAGCAGTTTACCCACTGTGCCATCTTGCTAGTTCCCATAAGTAATGGTTTTAAGCAATAGCTCTGGTTTTAGTAAAAGTGCTAGAGTAAATTCCCTCTACCAGACATTAAAACAGGTTTTTTGTTATTTTTTTATTTTTTTATTATTTTATGTGTACGAGTGTATTGCCTGCATGTATGTGGCACTGTGGCGTCTTCAGAACAGTTTATTACTGGGCAGCTGCAGCTTGGTACAGTGTGGGCTCCTTCCAGAGCATCTCTTGGGCCAGCAAAATGACTCCTGTGGTACAGGCACTTCCCCATAGCTTTGATGACCTAAGTTTGATCCCAGATCCTACAAGGGTAGCAGGAGAGGACAGACTCCCTCTGGGAGAGTTGTCCTCTGACCCCACATGTACGCCGTGGTGCACTGCCTGTTCTTAAGCACATAAGAGTACACAAAATGAGTTAAAGAAACAGGTTTTTTGTTATTTTTTTATTTTTTTATTATTTTATGTGTACGAGTGTATTGCCTGCATGTATGTGAGTGCACCCGTGTCATGCAATGCTGTGGAGGTCGGAAGAGGGCTTTGGATTTCCCTGGAACTGGAGTTAATGACAGTTCATAGCCACCATTTGGGTGCTGGGAATCGAACCTGGGTCCTCTGCAAAAGCAGTCAGTGCTCTTAACCACTGAGCCATCTCTCCAGCCCCTTGTTATGTTTTTAAAAAGACTCTCTTGCTGGGTGTGGTGGTGCTCACCTGTAGTTTCAACACTCGGGACGCGAAAGCAGGAGGACTGAGAGTTGTAGTCCACCTGGGCTATGAAGTGGGTCCTAGTCATAGACATACATACTCCAGCCTGCCTCACCCCAAGATGTGGTTCGGGTGATTGTGATGGTGTAAAGGCCAGCGTTTTAAAGAGCTTTTGGACTGGAGGTATAAATACCTCAGTGGTAAAGCACTTGGCTGTCTATGGTGAGGCTCTGGGTTCAATCACAGTACCACAGAGGTTTCTTGAGTTCTGGAAGGCCATCTAGCACAGAGGGCTAGCATCTCCTGATCACACAGTCCTTAAAGAAATGAGACTCAGTGAAGAACATTGGTATTTTAAAACTTCCAGGGGAGGGGGTCTCCTCATTACAGACCTGGATAGAATGTTTTTGTCATCTTTATTGTGGCTACTGGTCATTAATGGCTCACTTGCTCGCTCTCCGTCTCCCTCTCCAGTTTCATAAGCAGACCTTGAGTTCCATTGTGATGCCTCACCCAGCCAGTGCTCCTTTTGGCCACAAGAGAATGAGACTTTCGGGTCCGCAGGCTTTTGATAAAAATGAAATTAACTCTATTCAGTCCACGGAAGGGCTCCTGGAGAAAATAATCAAACAAGCAAAGCATATTTATCTGAGGAGCAGGTAAGGATAAAGAAAGTTACTGTTTTTCTGTGAAATTGGGTCCTTTTCTCTTTTGTGTATGTTAATTTTTGATGCTTTAAACTTTTTTCCAAGGAAAAGGTGGTTGAGTGTGAGTTGGTGGTAGACTGGGTACTCTCCAGTGTGGGGAGGGCAGAACCAGCAGTCTATGTGAAGGCATTTTTTTTAAAAAACACTGATGATGGCCGGGCGTAGTGGCGCACGCCTTTAATCCCAGCACTTGGGAGTCAGAGGCGGGCGGCTCTTTGTGAGTTCAAGGCCAGCCTGGTCTACATAGTGAGTTCCAGGACAGCTGGGGCTACAGGGAGACCTGTCTCAAAAAGACAAAAACAAAACAAAAAACTGATGATGTTGCAGACAGCTAGGTGAGAGTCAGCTAGGAAACTGTCTCTTGCTGTAGTTTCTTTTAGCTCGGCTGGACCCCAGGGCTTGTGCACACTGGACAAATACCCTGCCGCTGGGCCACATCCCCAGCCTGGACTTCTTTAGGAGCCCATTCATGAGGCACTTAGAACATGTTGACTGACCGAATTCTTATAATGTAGCCAGTTTGTTCAAGGCTTCCGTCCAAGGCTGCTCCGTCTCTCAGATCTTTCTTTCATGCACAGTGTTTGCAAAAGAGCTTGCTGTGATTAGGCAGAAATGCATCTTCTTCAGTGCCGAAGGCTGCCTTTCTGTTTCATGACTGGTAGTTGGTGAAGAGGTCTGTTTCTACTTCATAATTTTGCCTTCAAATAAAAACAGCATTGCCATTAAATAGATGGCCTTTACTGGTCGATGTTTTGGGTTTTCAGTGTCTCCTTCCAGCGGTCATGTTTTTTAGAGCACTAGTCTGTAGTTCAGAATGGAAACCTGGTTCTTCTACTTTTATTTCATGTGTATGAATGTTTGCCTGCATGTCTGGAACTGCATCACACACATACAGTGATGGAGGCCAGAAGAGGGCATCAGATCCCCTAAATCTAGAGTTAGAAGATTGCTTTTAGGTACCATGTGGATGCTGGGAACCCAGCCTGGGTCCTCTGCAAGAGCAGCTAGTGCTCTTAACCACTGAGCATCTCTTCAGCCCCCAAAGCTCCACTTCGCTAATAGTGAGATCAAAAAGTCAGCAAAATAGAAAATAATCTTCAGATTTTCATACGATACATGATTTAAATCCTTTCTTTTCACATGGTGACTTTTAATTTGTCTCTTTTGGAAGAGCTGCTGCAACAATTGACAGCTTGGCAAGTCGAGTTGAAGACCCTCAGGTCCAGGCCCATTGGTCAAACATCAGTGACGTGTGTGAGTCTAGTGTGAAAGTTCTGATCACGTCGCAAGGGTATGAGCAGATATGCAAGTAAGTGTCACCGCAATCATGGAGGTAGCGTGCCAAATTGCCTGGTGTGCCCGATGTGTCCTGAAGGACTCCATAGAGCTTTGGGTTCTTACTTGCCAGGTGCTATAACACTTCGGTAAATTATATCGTCTGTCTCATGTTTGTAAGAATGTCTAAAATAGCCGGGCATGGTGGCACATGCCTTTAATCCCAGCACTTGGGAGGCAGAGACAGGTGGATTTCTGAGCTTGAGGCCAGTCTTGTGGTTACAGGGAGACCCTGTCTCACAAAGACCAAAAAAAAAAGAATGTCTGAAATATTCTGTATTTATTCACACATCAGTGCTAGAAGCTTGAGGCCAGTCTGGTGGTTACAGGGAGACCCTGTCTCACAAAGACCAAAAAAAAAAAAGAATGTCTGAAATATTCTGTATTTATTCACACATCAGTGCTAGACCGCCCCTTTCAGGGTGTCCCGCCTTTTGACAGGACATGTTGTCCTCTATTGACTTCTGCTCAAGAACCATGCAAATTACCTAAAAAGTTAAAACTAAAAAATCTCACACTTTAAGTCAGTTCATGGTTTTGTGTTGGGCCACGTTCAAAGCTGTCCTTGGCCACACTGGCCACATATGGCCTGTGGGCTGCGAGAGGGGAACATGAACCCAGCGTTGAGCAGAAAGCTGCCTCACCCGCCGCGACACACCAAGCCTGCCTCAGAGGCTGTGCCAGTCTAGTTGTCTGGAGCAAAGGCGGTGGACAGAATTGGAGCCTGTGCTCTGCCTACTGTGCTCGGGGCAGCCTGAGTGTGTAGCTCTCCTGACCTGGTGTTGGCCTGTTCCATTAGTTCATGACTGTGTCCTCTGAAAGAGTGGACCATCTGTCTGTGAAGCAGCAGCCTGGTCCTTGTTCCAGTGTTCTTAGAGGTGGTGATGCTTGTGCTGGGGACATGGTTCAGTGGTAGAATGCTTGCTTGGCATGTGCAAGGCCCTGGGTTCAAACCCCAGCATTGCAAGAAAAACATGCAGGCTGCTTGCTTGGTCCTCGAACATCATACGCTAGTACAGTTGGCGAGGGGCCATTAAGAGGCATGAGCGTACAGCTGATAGGGTAGATCGCAGGACTGGGGCTGTGGCTCACATGGCATAGTATTTGCCTGGCATTTCCTACGTCCTGGGTTCTAGCCTAGCACTGCATAAAACTGGGTGTGGTGGCTCACACCTGTAATCCTAGCACTTGGGAGGTAGTGGCAGCGGGATTGCAGTGAGTTCAAGGCCAGCCGAGGCTACTAGACTCTGGCTTTAAAAATTGCAATGAGAAAGGGTGTTGGTTTGAGCAACTCTGCCCTTGATGGTTGGTCCTAGAGTCACCCACCTGCACTCTCCAGGCTCTCCCAGCCTTTGCCTTTTGAGCACAGCTGCTTTACTTCAGACAGAGCTAACAAAGCACTGTGGCACATAGTCCCTCCCCTTTGAAGGAGAAGCAGTGTGCCAGTTTTAATGAAGACCAGTAGGAACATGAGACACAGAGGGGAAAGAGCATCTGTAAAGGCAGTAAGGGGGTACGTTTACATATTTGTTCATGTTGGGGGTTGGCTGGTACGCATGGCATGGCACGTACGTATTGGTCAGAGGACAGTCTGGAAGCTGGTTTTCTCCTTCCACCACATGAGTCCCTGGTATCGATCTTGGGTCATCAACCTTGGTTGGCTACAAGTGTGCTTACCTATCTGTCAGAGCATGCCCCACATAGACCCCTCATGTGTGTGTGAGTCCTGCTCTGAGGACTGCAAGGGAAGACAAGCACCTGCCTGTGGGCCTGGTGCCCAGTGTGGTCTGGGGAATCTGCCTTGAGTCTCACTACTCTTGATCACATAATCCTAAGAAACCTCCCTCCTCCCCATGACACAGCCATTGGTGTAGGTTGTGAGGACCGTCCCCATCTTCCTCATGCTGTTCAGCTGTAGGTAAGGATTTGTGGGATTGTCAGACAGTTGCATTTATGACTATGTCTGCAGGTCCATTCAGCTGCAGTTGAACATTGGCGTTGATCAGGTCCGCGTGGTGCACAGGGACGGACGAGTGATCACACTGTCTCATCAGGAGCAGGAGCTGCAGGATTTCCTTCTGTCTCAGGTGATGACCGCACGCTGTATCTTTGGGTTTTAGGTTTTTGCCATTGATTTGTTTTTGAATAGTCTGACTCTGTAGCTCAGGCTGGCCTGGAACCTGCTGTGCAGCCCAGTGGTCCTCCTGCTCTGCCTCCTGAGTGCTGAGACTGCAGACGTGTGCCACCATGCCTGGCCCCTTCCCTTCAGTAACTACTTAAGGACAAGTTGAATAAAAGACAGCTCTACAGAGCAACCTTTGTCCTGCCGTGTGACTTCATTTCCAAAACACACTTTTGGTTTGATTGGCCAACTGGAAGTGCTCATCAGATGTCCTGGCTTTATTTCCATTGCTTTTGTGTGAAAGCGAAGGGTTTCAGTTTTTCTACTGTTGGGGTCTGCACCCACTCCAGGAGTGGCGAAGTACTAACCAAAGGGAACGAGAGAAAGGGAAATAGATGCGAATTGCAGCAGACATCATCTGTCCAAGTGGAGTGTCTTCTCTTTTGGCCTTGGAAAGAGTTGCTCGGATGATAGCCAGTATAAAAAGGGCTTGTTCCTGGTCCCTGCTCCTCCACAGACTTGCTTTTTGACACTGGAGTGAAGTAAGGACAGTTTTCCTGTCTTCGTGGAGTTGTGGTACAGTGCCAAATTGTGGGAGAAGGGATAGGTTTTTTTTAAAGTGCTATGTAAACTAATACTTTTTTCACACAAAATTAAGAAAACATGCTAAAAGTTTTTGGATTCTGTAATCTCATATAGGACTTGCTTCTTTGATGCCAAGTAATCAAATGTATCTGTGAGGGACATGCAGCCCCCAGCTGTACATCCTAAATGGTGTTGGTCAGACAGACAGACAGACACACACACACCCCACCCCCACCCCCCAGCAGGGGTGTGTGTTGGCTGTCTCAGAATGAATGGGATATGGGACATCTGGAGACCAAGGCCCACAGGTGGACAGGGAATGTGGTGTTGCTGCTCTGCCATTGCCTGTGCTGCTGGTGATGGAATGCGTTCTGTCAGGGTAGAGCGAGGAGCCAAAGCGTGCTGGGGACTGTTCCTGGGCTCAGTTTCCTTCATGGGTGTAGGAGAGGCACCAGCTTAGTGTGACAGCTGCAGCAGGCAGTCTTCTGGCTCAGGGGCTCAGTAGTAACAGCCCCAGGCCATCCTTGAGGGCAGGGACAAGTCAGAGGAGCTTTAAAAGAAGGAGCCTGCCACTCAAGGTCAGCAGTGGTTTGTCGTGAGATTCAGCCAGCCTAGCTTCGGGCCCAAGCCTGCACTTGAACCGCCAGTGGAGGCAGAATGGCGAGCACTAGGCAGCTGTGGCCTCTGCAGTGGAAGGTGGGGTCCCACAGCTCTCCTAGTGATCACTTGGGAGTGTTCTTTATACTTAAGACCTTTCCCGGCCAGGCAATGAAACCCCAGCAAACTTATAACGTTAGATCACAGTGTCTGATTTCCAGTCACGTCTCCTTGTTCACAGATGTCGCAGCACCAGGTGCACGCGGTCCAGCAGCTGGCCAAGGTCATGGGCTGGCAGGTCCTCAGCTTCAGTAACCACGTGGGACTTGGGCCTATAGAGAGCATTGGCAATGCCTCCGCCATCACGGTGGCCTCCCCGAGTGGGGACTATGCTATTTCAGGTACTTCTGCTGCCAAGGTGGGTGGGGGGCAGGGGGGTGGGGGTGAGGTGGACTTAGCATTGGGCTATGTAAACTATATACCAACAAAGCATTTGTAGGAGTAATCTATCTCTGTGGATGTCATCTGAGACCAGGAGCTTATTCTCTACTTTGAGTATGTGTGAGGGTGCTGGAGTGTGCAGCGCTTGTGTACACATGTGTCTGAGTGCATGGGAAGCAGTGGACAACCTCCGATATCATTCCTCGGTGCCATCCACCTTATTTCTTGAGTGAGCTCTTTCATTGACCTGTCTGAGTTGACCAGGTGAGCCAGCCCACCTGTCTCTGCCTTCTAAGTGCCTGGATTAGAGGCATGTGCCACCATGCCCAGCATACATGGGTGCTGGGGATCAAACCTAAGCCCTCAAGCTTGCAAAGCAAGTGCTTCATCAACTATGCCATCTCAGCCCAAGGACTTAGTCTCTAAGAGTTACAAAAATACTTAGTGTGGGGTTATTGGTGCAGCTCAGCGGTAGAACATTTGCCTCACACGAGACCCTGTGTTCAGTACGTGGCATGAAGGGAAAAGCTCAGCAGCTCATTTGCTTCTAATAGATCCTCTGAAAAGCCAGCCTTCTTCCCTGAGACCCCAAACCTTAATAGACCCAAATTTTAAGTGCACTCCCAGGGCTGGAGACATGACTCAGCTGTTGAGAGCATGGGCTGCTCTTGCAGAGGACTCAGGTTTGGATCTAGTACCCCAAGGTGGCTCACAACCATCCACAACTCCGGTTCCAGGGGATCCAGCACCCTCTTCTGGCTTCCACAGGCATCACACACTTTCACATACATGCAGGCAAAACACTCATACACATAGAATAAAAGTGAACTGTGCTGTTATAACATGGAAAGAATATCTGATCCTAGAAGCAGCAGGAGGCTGAGATGGGGAAGGATGTTTCAGTGAGTGGGGTTTCTGCAGGTGCGTGCACTCACGCTGGCTAGCCTTGTCTCAACTTCAGGGTACTTGCATTTTAGTGGAAAGTTCTTTTCTACTTAAGTTGAAAGATTAAATAATGAGAAATATTTGACCACAGATCCCAGCTTGGTACTAGACAAAGTTGCTGGTTGCAGGATCTTTATCACTAGGAACTGGTGGTGTGTGTGTGTTTGTGTGTGATTGGGCTTGAACTTCATAAGCATGCATTCTGTTATTGCTAAGAATATTGGTAAGAATTTTGAAATACCCTATATTCATCTGAGTAAAAACTTCATTAAGACCTGGTGTTCTTCCTGGTTTTTTGTTTGATTTTTGTGGTTTTGTTAGTTTTTTGTTTTTTAATATTTATTTTATGTGTAAGAGTATTTTATCTGTATATATGTAAGTGCACCATGTGTGTGCAATGCCTTCAGAGACCAGAAGAGGGCATCAGGTTCCTGGAACTGAAGTTATGGGTGATTGTTAGCCACCTCTAGGTGCTGGGAACTGGACCCAGGTCCTCTGCAAGAATACTCAGTGCTGTTAACTGTGAACCATCTCTCTTCTGGTTTTTTTTGAGACAAGTTCTTGTCTGCAGTTCAGGCTAGCCTTGACCTCTCTCTGTAGCTCAGTTTGGCTTTGAAGTTGATATGTAGCCCAGGCCAGCCTTGAACTTTTGGTCCTCTGGTATCAGCCTCCTGAGTGCCTAGATTATAGGCCTGGGTCACCACTACACCTGGCACATCCTACCTGATTTGTATGGAACAAGTAGTAATCTACAAATACTTAAAACAGTTAGAATGTGCCTGTGCATATGCAAAAATTTAGCGCTTGGGGATTGGCATGATGGTTTATTAAGTAAAGGCACTTCCCCCACAAGCCTTACAAGCCAGCTGCCGAGCCTCACAGCCTGAGTTCAATCTCTGAGACCCACATGGTGGAAGGAGAGAATCAGCTGTTACTGTTTGTCTTCTGAACTCCGTGCATTCACACACACATGCATTTACACAACATCATACATAAGTAATGAATTTAGCATTTTGCAATTGAAACACACTTTTTTCTTTCTTTTTTGGGGGGGGATGCAAAATTTCATGTAGCCCATGCTGCCCTTAAATATGCTGTGTAGCCAGAACTGGCTTTAAACTCCTGATCCTCTGGCCTCCGCCTCCCAAGTGCTGGGGTCTCAGGTGTGCACTTTTTAGCAAGATCCTCTGCGCTGTTGGATGGGTTTCCTGGTTTGCAGATGTACTGATGCTTGGTTTCCTCCTCAGTTCGTAACGGACCTGAGAGTGGCAGCAAGATCATGGTTCAGTTCCCCCGCAACCAGTGCAAAGACCTTCCCAAAAGTGATGTCCTGCAGGACAACAAATGGACTCATCTCCGAGGACCGTTCAGGGAGGTGCAGTGGAACAGGATGGAAGGCCGCAACTTTGTTTACAAGATGGAGCTGCTGATGTCTGCACTGAGCCCCTGTCTGCTCTGATCTTCCCCGGGACAAGTTCCAGAGACTGACCTGGGTGCATGCAGATCAGTTACAGGCAGAGGGAGAGAGTCTTCCACGGGAGTTCTGTGTACTGCCCACGGACCTGGAGCTCCTGCACTCCACAGGAGCCTTGTTTGAAAGACTGCTGAATGTTTACCTAGCAGCCCCAGACCGTTCACTTTGTGAGTGATAAGTGCTTTGAAATGGAAGTTTGTCTATAGTTGTATGGGAGATGTAAAATAATTTGTTTTTTATACAGTTAACTTGAAGACATTACTAACTTAAGGGCTTGAATTTGTTTTTTAAAATAAAATATCCCTGTTGTGTGATGTTAACATAAAATATGTGCTTAAAACTCTCCAAGTACTTTATGAGTTTGGGTTTGTTTTTTTTTTATTTCATATGTATGAGTGTATGTAAGTGTACCCGTGTGTTGTACAAAAGCCTGCCGATGCTGGGTATGGTAGTGCACACCTTTAATCCCAGCACTTAGGAGGCAGAGGCAGGCAGATCTCTGAGTTCAAGACCAGCCTGAAACTGGAGTTACTGACTGTTGTTAGCCACCATGTGATTCCTGGGAGCTGAACCCGGGTCCTCTATAAGAGCAGCCAGTGCTCTAACCACTGAACCATCTCTCAGCCCACTTTTGAGTTCTTTTTTTTTAAAAAAAATATTTTTATGTGTATGAGTGTATTGCCTGCATGTAAGTGCACCCATGTCCTGCAGTGCCCAAGGAGATCAGAAGAGGGCATCAGACCCCCTGGAACTGGAGTTACAGATTGAACCTGGATCCTCTGCAAGAGCAGCCAGTGCTCTTAACTGCTGAGCTCTCCGGCCCACTTTCTGAGTTCTTAATGACCCACATGAGTTCTGGACCAGCTGGGACGGCAGGAAAATCCTGTCTTAATAAACCACATCAGAACTCTTATGACAGCTTTAACATACAGATTCACTGACTGAGCATGGGAGGCTCTTCCCTGGAGCACAGCAAGAACACCTCAGAAGGACCGGTCCTCCCCAGCACTGGGGCCATGAGATGCCTGGGGAAGCGAAGTGCCTCTCTGCTCCAGCTGTCTTGCTCCTGAGTCAATAGGAGCAGGTCAGGAACTCGAGGAGCTGAAGGTATGGGAGGAGCAGACGGGGTCTTTGGGGCTTGACCTGTGGGTCTGTTCATGGTGGCCTCCCTGTTAGTCCACCATACTCGGCTTCCTCAGGACTGGAAGACAGCCCAGTGAAGGGCCTGAGGCCGTGGGTTCCTTTCCACCCTTGCCTAGCAGAGCACGGTGACGTGAGAACACAGTGAACTTCGGTTCTTAGCTCCTGCCGTTAGTTTTGGCCCTTCCTAGGAGAAAGGCCCTGGAGTTAAACCACTGCTCTAGCAGCTCGAATCGCAGGCTTTATTTTCAGAATTATTTTTCATTAATTTTTTTAAACAATTTTTCACAGTCTGAAGTATAACTTATTAACAGTACATTGTCATTCTCTGTGATTTAATTTTTTTTCCAGGTCTTTTTGAGACAGGGTCTCCCTGTAGCCCCAGCTGGCCTGGAACTCACAGACATCTGCCTGCCTTTGCCTCCCAAGTGCTGGGATTAAAGGCACATGCCACCATACCCAGACCTTTTTAAATTTTTTAAATTTTATTTTATGTGTATCTATTGCCTGCATGTGTGTCAGTGCACCCGTGTTGTGCAATGCCCTTGGAGGTCAGAAGGTGCCATCAGATTCTCCTGGAACTGGAGTTCTGGATGGTTGTTAGCCGCCATGTGGGTGCTGGGAATCGAACCTGGGTCCTCTGCAAGAGCAGGCAGTGCTCTTAATCGCCGAGTCATCTCTCCAGCCCCATATTTTCTTTCTTTTTTTTTGTTTTTTTTTTTTTAAAAAAAAAACAGACAAGACTTTGGGCCCTAGAATTTAAAACCTGGAATAGCTTGAAGAGTGCACAGGTCGGTCCCCTTTCCAAAGAAAGGAACTGAGACAATGTCCTAGCAGTTTGGCTTGCAGCCGGCCTTACCTGAGGAAGCCTCGCTTTCATTCTCCACCCCGAGGGTTCCCACCCCTGACTCCTGACAAGCTGAGGGGTGCGATGGAGGAGCGGCTGCACCACAGGAGCGCTGCACATGTGTGAGGGAGGACACGCACCCCGTCCCCTCCCAACACTACTCACCCTGCTTCTTCATGGGACATATGGAAACCCTGCTAGCCCAGGGCCAGGTTCCCGCCTGCTGCTGGGAAGGGGCACCTGGGTGTGGGATCCCACCCATCTGTGTGTGTGCTCGCACAGTGGGCGGTGAAGGTGAGTGTGCTGGGAATGTGCACACCAGTGGCGCGCGCCCCTTCTGAGCAGGACAGCCTTGCAGCCTCCCCTAGCTGGCCCACCATAAGCAGCTGCGCACTCCACACCCTTCCTCTAGTCGGGGAAGGCTTCTGACTGACTTCCAGGGACTCCTCACCTGCCAGTGGGATCTTGGGGACTTAAGGAGACACAGAGGAATGTTCTTCAGGCCTCTAGCTTTGCATACACTACTCGGCACCCAAGGCCCTGCTCACGGGTGCTAGCCGGGACCTACAACATGGCCGGCTGCAGTCTGCAACTGTGGGTACTGAAGAGAGAACGGGAAAATAAACTGCAGTTGGAGCTTGGCTAACGGATGCTGGGAAGGAGAACCCGGCTAAACAGTGACAGCCTGGGGAGTGCCGGCCAAGGTGGCTGGGGCCTAATCCCCAAGCTCAGCTGGAGCCCCAGGGCGATCTAACCTTCATCCCTCAACACAGCGCTTTCCGGGTAGCCTTCCAGACCCCCACCCCCCCACCCCCCGAGCCAAGTATCCCCCTGCTTTTCTTAGCCACTCAGAGCTCTAGGCTGACTCTGGGCGTAGATGCCCTAACTGAGGTAGGCAAAGGCCGTGTGCTCCTCAGCCCAGGGCCTGACTGGACATGTGAGGTGTTGGTGACTGAGGAGCAGACATGGCGGATTTTTCAAGTTGAGTTGCCCATCTGGCTGGGAGGCTGGATGCTGCGCCTGGTCGAGATGAGCCGTGTTTTCCTCCATCACCCAGGCAGGCCATGTGAGGAAAATCGTTTTGAATGAAGGAAGATGAGAAACATGCATATCTTCCTGCTTCCTGTCCGAAAGCTAGTCCCTCAGGGAGCACTCAGCCGCTCTCCCTAAGGCTCCGGCTCCTAGCACTCACCGCAGCACCCCAGCACCCCAGATCCCTCAGCAGACTATCTGGACGCTTCAGGCTTGCTCACATTAGCTCGCTCCACGGCAGTTTTAAGGGTGGTGAGTCAGGGACGGTGGGTGCAATGGTTTGCAGATCAGACAGGAGCATGGCCCATCGCCAGCCAGCACAGCGGTCATTCTGTAGGCATTCTGGCCCTGGAGATGGACTCCTCCAGCAGGTCTGCCTGCCTTAGCCCCAGCCTGTGCCATTACTTAAGGATCAGCATGGCCCCAAAGCTGCAGCCAAGCAGAGTTCCTAGTTGAAAGCCCCAAGCTTCTCGAATGTCATGTCAGTCCTAGAACTGACTGCAAGGCGTCATCTCCAGCTTCTTCCTGTCCCATCAGGAGGCTGCAGAACGGGTCTGCTGGAGACGGCAGCAGACCCACTCAGCTTGTTTCTCTGATTGGGAAGTACTATTTTCCTCTTGAGGTAGCAATGTAGATGGTCCAGCCTTGGCTACCACTCAGCATCCTGCAGCTCGATCTCCTCAGTGGTGCTTTCTGTAAAGCAAAAGACAAGTTGGGGCTGGGGAGATGGCTGGGTTGGTGCAGTGCTCATTGCACATGCATGAGGACCTGAGCTTGGAACCCAGCACCCATGTAAGAAGCCGGCAAGTACATCTGTAATGCTGACAGTGACAGGTGCAAGTTCATCCGTCAGCCACTAGCCTCCAGTCAGATCCGCCTGATCCAGGTCAGCCACTAGCCTCCGGTCAGATCCGCCTGATCCAGGTCAGCCACTAGCCTCCGGTCAGATCCGCCTGATCCAGGTCAGCCACTAGCCTCTGGTCAGATCCGCCTGATCTCAGGTCAGTCAGAGACTACGTAAAAACACAGTGGAAGGCGTCTGCAGAAGACACTGGATGTTGTGGATGTCGACCTCTGGTTTCCACACATGTACATAGGCACTCAGGTGCATGAGCACCTGCATGCATAAGTGCATACATACACACACACACACACACACGGAATTAAAAACCAGCCACCTGCCACCTCTGGTCTCAGATGAAAGGACTGTCATAACACCCAGAGCATTACCTTTGTGTTTGTGCCTCCTCTTCCTCTGGAATTTATACACACACCTGTTGCACACCCACATGAGGCTGATCAGGACTGCAGCCACGGCAGCAAGCAAAGCCAGGAAGACGACCACGAAGTGGAGGTCTTCATACAGGATCTCTGGTGGGACAAGGAAGGCAAGGTGTCTTTAAAAGATGGTTATTAAGTGAAAAAAAATTTAATTAAAAGATACTGTATCAATCCTTTGAGAACTTTATACAATGTATTTTGATTGTACTCAATCTCTCCTCCCCCAGCTCCTCCCAGATCCTCCCCCAGCTCCTCCCCCAGCTCCTCCCAGATCCTCCCAAGCTTCCCAACCCACCCCCACCCCCCAACTTTGTTTCCTTTTTTTTTTTTTGTCTTTTTGAGACAGGGTATCCATGTAGCCCCAGCTGTCCTGGAACTTGCTATGTAGACCAGGCTAGCTTTGAACTCACAGAGATCCACCTGCCTCTGCCTCCCACGTGCTGAGATTAAAGGCATGTGTGCTAGCATGCTCAGCCCTGCATCCTCTTTTTATAACCATCAACCCTAATTTGTGAGATCACTTTTACTCTATGAAGTTGTCCACCCACACCTCCTGCTCAGGGGGGCTCTCTTACCAGACACCTGTAGCACAATGGTGCCAAACTGGCTGCTCCCCAGGTGCTCTGTGACAGTGATGACATAGTAGCCAGAATCCCTCACGCTCACGCTGAAGAGCTGGATGGAGCCATTGTCAAAGGTGCAGACTCTGTCCCTGTGGCTTTGAGAGATGTTGGCTGGGGTCCCTGGTTTCCACTCCACGACCTTCTGCACACCCCAATGAGACGTGTGCTTCCATTCAATGGTGGGCACCCCATGGCAAGAGTAGTCTACTGAGAGCAGGATGTCTTTTTGGACGGTGGCATTGATGACTGACTGTGGAATGTACAGTGACACGCCCTGACCTGTAGCGTGAAATATGAGATGTTGAGCTTACATAGGAGCTACTTGACTGCCATCTCTCCAGCCCTGAACTTATAATTGAGCCAAATTATTTACTCATCAGTTCCTTCCACGTGTGTCTTTTGTTTACAGCCAGGAAAAACCACACAGCTCCATCCAGCTCTCCCGTGTAGCTCTACACAGGGAGACATACAAGGGATCAAAGCAAAACAAGCTGACGTTAAAGAATGACATGCACATGAAGATAATAAAAAGGCCAAGAATGACCAGTGGAGGGATTCACGGTGGCTAGGGGGACCTCACTGAGGAAATGACATTTGAACTCTGGCCCAATGGACAAGCAAGAGGGGGGAGCAGCCTGAGGAAGACAGTGGAGCACTTTAGGCCAAGGGAATCAGGAGTGTGACATCTGGGTGCTGAGGATGAGCAGTGTGTGTGTGTGAGGACGGCTAGAGCGCTGGAATGCAGGGAGACTGGGCAGGGGAGCACTCAAGTGGAGGGAGCACTCAGCAGGGGGAGCACTCAAGCAGAGGGAGCACTGAGCAGGGGGAGCTTCTGCCCAGCTTCAATGTCAGGAACTTGGAGACCATGGGAGCCCCAAGGTGGCTTAGGCTCAAGGGTAATTCTGGCATCTGACATGGAAAGCATCTTGGGGCTCAGGGGGGCAAGTGTGGAAGCAAAGGAGCAGTCAGGTAGATGCTGCAGGAGATGAGGCAGGACGTTAGAAAGGGCAGGCTGGAGTAGGACATGCATTTGGAAGTACTGGGACAGAGCAAGCTGACCAGCTGGGTATGAACATGGGATTAGACGAGACAGAGGCATCAGGCAGACGTGTCTGCTCAGGATATGGGAAATGATGCTGTGATGGTTTGAATGAAAATGCCCCCCATAGGCTCCAAGTATTTGGACATTTTGTCCCCAGATGATGATGCTGTTTTGTGAGGTTTTAGACGGTGTGGCTCTCCTGGAGGAAACAGGTCACTGGGGGTTGGCTCAGAGAGTTCTTAAGCCTTGCCAGATCTCCAGTCGGTCTCTTGCTTCTTGTGCCTGCGTGATGATGTGAGAGCTTAGCTCCTGCTGCTCCTGCTCCAGCCACCTCCACCCACCATGCCTCCCTGCCATGATGGACTATAATTCCCCTGGAACAATAAGCTCAAATAAACTCTTCCTCCTATAAATTGCTTGGGTCAGTGTTTCTATCACAGCAACAGAAAAGTGACTTACAGTAATTGATACCAGAGAGTGGGCTGTTGGCTGTGTAGAACCTGACCGTGTGGGGTTTTGAAGAAATGTGGAAGACTTTGGAACGTTGGGCTAGAAAAATGGTTGATTGTTGTAAGCAGAGCTTAATAGGTCATTCTAGTAGGGGCCTAGAAGAAAGTAGTGCTGAGAACAATGTAGTCCCAGAGGGAAATAAGGACTCAAGCACCACTTGGGATATTTTGGCAAAGAGTCTGGCTGGAGTCTGCCCACAGCCAAAAAGCTTGCCTGAGGCTAAGTTGAAAAGCTGGAGGGAGCACTCAGCAGGGGGAGCACTCAAGCAGAGGGAGCACTGAGCAGGGGGAGCTTCTGCCCAGCTTCAATGTCAGGAACTTGGAGACCATGGGAGCCCCAAGGTGGCTTAGGCTCAAGGGTAATTCTGGCATCTGACATGGAAAGCATCTTGGGGCTCAGGGGGGCAAGTGTGGAAGCAAAGGAGCAGTCAGGTAGATGCTGCAGGAGATGAGGCAGGACGTTAGAAAGGGCAGGCTGGAGTAGGACATGCATTTGGAAGTACTGGGACAGAGCAAGCTGACCAGCTGGGTATGAACATGGGATTAGACGAGACAGAGGCATCAGGCAGACGTGTCTGCTCAGGATATGGGAAATGATGCTGTGATGGTTTGAATGAAAATGCCCCCCATAGGCTCCAAGTATTTGGACATTTTGTCCCCAGATGATGATGCTGTTTTGTGAGGTTTTAGACGGTGTGGCTCTCCTGGAGGAAACAGGTCACTGGGGGTTGGCTCAGAGAGTTCTTAAGCCTTGCCAGATCTCCAGTCGGTCTCTTGCTTCTTGTGCCTGCGTGATGATGTGAGAGCTTAGCTCCTGCTGCTCCTGCTCCAGCCACCTCCACCCACCATGCCTCCCTGCCATGATGGACTATAATTCCCCTGGAACAATAAGCTCAAATAAACTCTTCCTCCTATAAATTGCTTGGGTCAGTGTTTCTATCACAGCAACAGAAAAGTGACTTACAGTAATTGATACCAGAGAGTGGGCTGTTGGCTGTGTAGAACCTGACCGTGTGGGGTTTTGAAGAAATGTGGAAGACTTTGGAACGTTGGGCTAGAAAAATGGTTGATTGTTGTAAGCAGAGCTTAATAGGTCATTCTAGTAGGGGCCTAGAAGAAAGTAGTGCTGAGAACAATGTAGTCCCAGAGGGAAATAAGGACTCAAGCACCACTTGGGATATTTTGGCAAAGAGTCTGGCTGGAGTCTGCCCACAGCCAAAAAGCTTGCCTGAGGCTAAGTTGAAAAGCCATGGACTAATTTCTCTGTTGGAAAAAATTTCAAGACAGCCTAATGTTGAAATGGTGGCATGGCTATGAATGGTGACTGTTATACAGATTCACAGAGAAAAAGAGCAAATGGGGCAGAAAGAAATAAAGAGTGTACAGGATGGATTGAAAAAGAGCTCTAGGAAGATAAATGTTGGAGCCCTGGCAGGTGATGGAGAGGATCCCATTGATAAGGAGATTAAAATGATTAAGGAGATTAAAGTGATTAAGGGGGGCCCAGAGATTCAAACTTAAACAATGGAGAGAGTGCCTCCAGGGCAAGAACACACCCAGTTAAGCCTCCAAATTGTGAAAGGAAAATTCTGTAGGCTGAAGAGAAGAGCTTCTAATATGGATAAAGCAGCCTGAGGTCCATCTCAAACTTGCAGTCAGACTTGGCAGTGTTGCTCACCTGGTTCTGGCTATAGGGGCATGAAAGATGGAAGAGTGAAGGGGTCGTCAATTCTTCCCCCAACGTTTCAGAGAAACATGGAGGCCTGGTAGCATGAAGCAGAGGTACCCCTGCCTAGAAGAGGCACTGGTTGGCCATTGTATGAAGCTGTGAAGGTGAAGCCTGGTTGGCAATGGAGACCCAAAGACATTTGTGATGCCAGAGGAAGTGGTACCAGCCCAAAAGAGAGAGAGATGTGTGTTGCACACAGCAAAGCTAGAGAAGCTGAGCCATCTAAGCCCTTTGAAAGTAAAGTCCCAGAAGTTGGATGTGGAGCTCCTGGATTTGGTGTTTGTCCTGGTTTTCGCTCTTGTTTTGGTCTGGTATTTCCTCCCTCTGCCTCCATTCCGCCCTTTTGGAATGGTAATGTGTATTCGGTTCCACTGTTATGCTGGGAATATGTAATTTGTCTTTGAGTTTATAGAGGCTTACAGTTAATATTATTTACCTGAGTCTCAGAAGAGACTTTGGACTGTGGACTTTTAAATAGTATTGAGACAGATAATGACTATTGGGACTTCTAAGTTGGACTAAATGCATTTTGCATTTTGTATGGTCATAAGCCTATTGGGGCCAGGGGGTGGAATGTGATGGTTTGAATGAAAATGTCCCCCATAGGCTCCAAGTGTTTGGACATTTTGTCCCCAGATGATGGTGCTGTTTTGGGAGGTTTTAGAAGGTGTGGCTACCCTGGAGGAAGCATGTCACTGGGGGTGGGCTTAGAGAGTTCTTAAGCCTTGCTGGATCTCCAGTCACTCTCTGTTTCCTGGGCCTGCTTGAACACGTGAGAGCTTAGCTTCTGCTGCTCCTGCTCCAGCCACCTCCAGCCACCTCGCTTCCTGACATGACAGACTGTAATTCCCCTGGAACCATAAGCTCAAATGAACTTTCTTCTATAAATTGCTTTGGTTGGTGTTTCTGCCACAGCAACAGAAAAGTGACTAATAGAGAGGCCTTGCCGAGGGTGTATGTACATGTGTTTGTTACATGTGTACTGAATAGGTACCATGTAGCACTGTGTGTACCATGTGCCTGGTCCATACCAACTGCTTTACGTTTATGCTACTAAAGCCTTCCACAATCCATTTCAAGTTAATCAGTGATTAACCCTCAGGCTCAGCAGGATTGAAAATCTGATCCAGGGTCATTCTGCAGGGCTGAGGTGCACACATGGGCACCTGACTCCAAAGCGCAAACATTTATATCTGGGCTCAAATTGAAGGTCAGTGGCTGGCAGTGAGGGGACAGGTTGCTGTAGTGACCCCTCTTGTCCTTTATGGACAACAGTGCTCTGCTCTAATAGTTAACAGGCTCCTGCCCTTGCCCAAGAATTTACAGACTTCTTTGGACTTTGTTGATGTAGAGGAGGGGGCGGTCTGCTCCCAGGATGCGGGAAGATGACCAGAGAGCTGTCCTTGGGATGCAGAGTAAGTGTGGCCCCCTTTATGTTTATACATACATTAAAGGTCTGTTACCAGCCAGTCTCCTCACCTGCCACTTTTCCAGACCTTTCCTGTCATCCCGTCATCCCCAGCAGCACTCCGTCTGTACCCCTTTCCTATGGCTGGCTGAGTAGCTAAAACAATTCAACGAATTTCATGGTAAAAGTGGAAAATAGGGCTGTGAACTGAACTGAATTACAGGACCCCACATGATACCGGATGGAGAATCTGCAAATCACAAGTATTGTATCACATGTAAGGGGAGGGATGGTTTGCTTAAACTCAACTTCACATTACAGAAAACACCAAAGATGGGCTAGGGATGTAGCTCAGTTGGTAGAATGTCTGCTCAGCACGCATGAGGACTTGAGTTTGATTGCCAGCATGGCAGAAGCCAGGCTAAGTGGCCCACACCTGCAGTTCCAGCACCCAGGCAGTAAAGGCTGAAGGATCAGAAGCTCAAGGTCATCCTCAGCTACATAGTGAGTATGAAGCCAGCCTGGGCTACATGAGACCCTTTCTCAGAACCATTAGGAAGAAAGTTACAAATATCCTGACACTCCACCTAA